AAGGTGCGCATGAAAACTGCTGTAAACGTTCCAGGCCCGTTGACTCTAATACAAAATTGTTGGTTACTTGAGGATCATGCGTGTAGATAAGCAAATAATTTAGGCAATAGGCTGAAACAGCTCAAACAAGCAATAATAATATGAGAACGACAGTAATGTCTGATTAAAAGCAAACTTTTCATATATTGGAGAGGGCTCGATAACGGCATTTTCGGACGGGCCAAGATCGATTGTAAGTGAAGCGGATGAACCGCGCCTGAAAGTAGCACAATTGTAAACGGTAATGCCGTTTTTCAGCAAACAAGTTGACGATATTAAGAACTATACAGTTCGTCAGTTTAACTCGCGATCGGAAAACTTTCATAACTTCGAAGTCGTAGAAAATTCATGTGAGTTAGGCTCACTTTAGTAAGTCAACCTAGTGTTGCCAGTGTAGTCATGTGTTTCTATAACTCAAAACTTGTTGTCATTTTGAGAGACATCGGCCTGCATGAAAGCTGTTATTAGATCTTTCGTACTTTGCCGAGTTAGGCATTATTCATATGAAATTTCAGTTTTCTTGTCTGCCTGACTGCCGAGAGAGAAAGGTGACGGCTTTGATATGGAAAGCAAATATTCTCGTAAAATTAGAGAGTTCTGATCAGCCAGATTTCCGAGTTGGCACCTTTCCAACAACGCTGCGACTTCTAACTTTGACTTATCAGTATGTGTGACGTAGGCGTACGTGACAGCATGAAACTTTACCTCACAAAAGGAAATAGAACATCCCTGCATAGCTTTATATTTTTATCTTGTCTGGCTCCGAAATCGCTTTCCCGCCAAAACTTTTCCGTGTTTTTTTCCAGGCCTCCGCATATGAGATCTAGGCGTAAGTGATCCATGATTTTAAAACGCTGGAGTCATATCTGGAGTGTGAACATGCTCCAAAAGCTTTATCTTCCCAGATTCTCTGTTTGTTGAGTTGAAGGTGGGTAATGAAATGCGAATACACGATAATGCAGAAAAACTCGCACCAATATCTGTTTTTGCGTTATATAAATATGCAATATAAATATATATATATATAT